TCTTCCGATCTACTATTTTCTTGCACCGGCCGTTGCCGTACGATGGGGATGGTGAGTGATGTTTTCTTTTTTCAGAATGTTCTAAGTTGTCCTTTTCATATGCCGACAGTGTTTTCCACATTCTAAGTTGTCCTTTTCATATGCCGACAGTGTTTTCCACATAAGTACAGCTCGGCTTGGGGTGGGCGCATTACTTGCGTCAGCGTTTTGAGCGACTACTGTTGATAACGCAGGCGGACGCTCAAAACTCTTGATTGATAGCTAACTTTCCTTGTCGCTCGAAACGCTGCCGCAAAGTGTGAACGCACACGTACGTTTACGTGAACGTGTGAAAACCTGTAAATTCCTGTGAAGAAAGATCACTTGGAACAATTTCGCAACAATAACAGGTCTGACCAAAGTGAGACTTGATAGTTACAATGAAACAACCGATGCAACTAGCAAAAAAGCGAAATGCCCCCTCCAAGCTGACCCGCCCCTATTATTACTTTATGTGTACATATAAGGCTTGTTTATATTTTGCAGCTCGAGATACTTGGTATTTCAGAACGCGCGAAAAGGAAAGTGTTGATAAGCTTTGTTTGAAAGAATCGCTGTTTTGAGCGAAAAGGATGGTTTAGGTGTCAGTCAGTGCCTAAAACGGCCATTTCCCCAAGGCGATGGTTCACTCAGAACGGCGATTCTTTCGTTCTGCAAACTATGATAGCAGCTGAAGGGAATCAGTGATTTAACCATTTGTCCTTCATGGTAGGGGGGAGGGTCCATTTCGTAACTTCTGAGAACCGGCCAGCCCTCGATAAATTTCTGTACTCTCCTATCAGCTTTGAAAGCTACAATTTGGCTCTATGTATCTTGACGTTGGGTGCCAGACTGCAATTTCTGAGGAGTAAAAAGTGGGGAAACCCCTTATTATTCGAGAAATTTTAATCTGCAAAGTGGCTCGCCCACCCCAGAGCCTTCATAATCTTTGAAAATTGAAGGTTACCACTCTAACGCTGTCGCGAAATGGTAGACTGCCCCCCCCCTTCTCAATTTATGGGTTCGGCCCATAAGTGATGGCGTTTTTTTCTCACTCAGAATATCGCGCTAAATATGACAAGTTTTGCCATTGGAGCGATAGTCCTCATACTTTTCTTTTCTTTTTTTTTTCATTTCTTTTTTCTTTTCTCTTTTCTTTCCACTAATATTTAAGTGGTCAAACTGGAGTGTCAGGTCGACGAAATTGAGCATTTTCGACAGCCTCTTTTCCACCTCTAATTAAAAAAACTAAAGGTCCAGTTGCTAAGTATATGGCCAAGCTATGCCTCTTAGGAATGCTTTCAATGGTTTCAGTTATTCGGAGATTTCGATTTCGACCTCACAGACAAGCATCGAACCTAATATCCTATTCAGACCAAGTGAGAGCTTGCTGAATCACCTTGTTCCTGGTGATTCAGGCCAAAGTATGAGGAATCGTTAGAGGTCATGGAATGCTGTCCCTCCCTTATCTTCATCAACCACGACCCGCAGTTGATGTTAGACGTTCAAAAGTCTGTGGGTAGGTTCTGCAAACAGGCGCTGTCCAAGAGGGCTCCTATGCAGTGACCATTCACGAAATGGTCCGGGATTCTATACTCTCTCATCGTCATATGAATTGAGGAGTTTGAGCTTGTCGTAAAGAAGCATATATCCCCTGGTCACCACAATTTTAAGCCTTTTTTCTGCATATTTGAGAGACGAGAATGTAGTTTGCAAAAAGTATGGTGTCAAAAACTGGCTCTCTATGTGCCAGCGCGCGACACTCAATTTCAATAAAATAAAAATCGACAGAAATCGAGAAATTGTAGGAAAGCAACCATATTGCCTTATAGAGCACAAAATTATCTATCAAGTGGTGTAGAACACATTGGGAAATGTTATGTGGGAAAGTGTCAGTTCCCACATAAAAATTTGGGTGAGAAAAAGAATCACCTTTACTTATGGGTACACCAAATGCATTAGCCTTATTTTCACAATGTATGCTGCATGGGAACGGAGCATTCGAAGTCATTTAACACACAGACGATAAACATTTTCGACGCATTGTTCAGCTTAGAGGGGCAGTTTTACACCTTTCTAGCCCTTGAATCCCTTTTGTTAGTTCGTGTCAATGAAAAGGTCTCTTCCTCGCTCAGACCTGTAAACACTTGTGAAGTTTCGACATTGTTCAAGTGGTCCACTTTGGTGACAGTAATTACAGTCACAATTTGGCCTGTACGAACTTCACCTGCAGTTACCATTCAGTGCTCCCCAGCAAGCCGGTATGCAGCTAATTTTTCAGTCAAAGATGTGCCTTTAATGTGGTTAGATATTTCGAAGATAATCCATGAGGAAAACCCCTCCCAGATGGAAAAAACCATTCCGCGAAGAATCACCATTTTTGCGCTGTCTTCGAACAGAGAAACTTTCTAGCACAGGACGAATTGCTGAAACGTGGACCTTTTATGGAAAGCCGATCCATCATAACAAGTCTGCGTGACAGTGCGATAAGAAGACGCGCCTGTGGAAATTGCTCAGCTTTTCGGGAGGTGTATCTGCTACTTTCAGCCATCCGAGCTTCACTTCTTCGATCATTTGACTGAGTAACTTGGCGGTATTCGGCGTGGAGGGGGCATTTAGCGCGTTCGCTAGTTCCTTTTGTTAGTTCGTCTCAAATGATTACAGCTACAGTTTCAAGTTTATGAGTCATTTTGGTAAAAACTGTAAACTCGTAAGAAGCAGCGAAACATTGTAGGACAGCCACTTTCGTTAACAGGTCTTAAGAAGGTGACCTGTATAGCTTAGCTGAGCACGATACAGTGCCCCCACCAAGCCGAACTGCGCCAAGACTTGAACGATTGCAGCAAAAATTACGCGGTATTCAGTGTGTTGAAAGCTTTCCTGTGGACAGTGGTTGTATTGCAGGTATGGATGGACGTTATGCGGTGTCGATCTCATCATTTTCCTTATGGTGATCTCGAACTTAGTTATGGCAATGTGCATGGATCCGGGCATTCATCCTTACGGTTAGGAATACCATTCCTTTTTTCATTCCCAAGTTAAATTGTCCATTTCCTTCCCAGGGTATGCAACTGAGGAAATGACAACAGACGACTTTCGTTCACCGTTGTATAAGAATGTTGAAATCAACGGGATTACCGTCCGTATGAAATGGTGCGTAACGTGTCAGTTCTATCGACCACCCAGGTCGAGCCATTGCTCCGTTTGCAATCGGTTAGTGGGGTTTTTATTCAAAAACATCGCCTGTTTACCGAGAAAAACCGGTTGTGAGAGGATTTACGATGATTTTTAGATGCATTGATACATTCGATCACCATTGTCCATGGGTTCATAATTGTGTGGGAAGGCGGAATTACAGGTGAAATTGTGCTTTCGAATTGCTTAACCGCCATAATGCAGGGGTCTTATTCAGATACTTCTTTTTCTTCTTGTGTTTTCTTAGTCTACACATGTTATATGTTGCCTCGGTGTGTCTTGGATATACGCTTGCACACAGGTTAGCCCTTTGTCTTTATTTTTGTCTTTGACTTGACGATTGCTGAAAAATAATTTTTGTAACATTTCTGTCGCTGTTCGTTTGCATTTTTACTAAATATGATGTACAGTTTTTGGTTTTTGCTCTCGCATAAGACCCGAAATGATAAAAAATGGCTCTAGAAAAAGAAATCTTAGAGATAGACAGTTTTTTGAGTCCCGATTTCCTTTTACCCTATGTGGTGTAGACTGTGTAAAATGAGCTGTTTTCGAATGAGGGTGCGGCCTGACAATCAAAATTCTAGCGCAGTTCGACTTGGTGGGGGCATTTTATCGGTTCTCATTGATCACTGTCGATGCTTGTTGTAGAGACATGTAAACTCTAAACTCTTGTGAAGCTTCGTTTACCCCTGACAAGACTCGACAGGTTTTGCTAAGCTGAGACCTGTCGAGTTTTGTTAAAGTTAAACGGTACGGTGATGTATGTTTAAAAGAATGGCAAAAGAAAATAATCAACCAGGAGAGCGCAGTCCTGAGTCGAACAGCGCCGGAATCTTTGAGTCCACTACAACTCCCCCTCCCCCTTCCCCAGTAATTGTCTGCGGTGGTAAAGCGCCTGAATTCGGAAAAATCATCTATATCGACTAATGAGCGATAGTGCAATTTTTCATCAACTGAAACACGGTTTTTCTTCGCATCTGAGATACGACCCTCCACGCCACCTCCTGCTGTAAAATTCGAAACGTAAGGTCTGTCCTGATTCCAAGCCTGCCGAAGTGAGATGGCTTCGTGGTGCAAGGAAGAGGCCTTTCATTGACTGGTCCATTTACTCACTAAAGAGGCACAGAGAAGTAGATGACTTCGACATACTGAGTTTGAAACTGCCATCGATCGACACAGTAGCTATTGCTACGTATATCGATTCAACTCTGCTTTGAGTTATCCCTAAGCATGCCCCATGGCATTGCCGAGCACATGGATGTGTATGTCGTCAGTAATGTCAAACCGCTAGCTTACCTAGTATCTGAAGAAATGTGGAACGGACACAAGTGACGCTTTGATCGTAAAAACTCCGGCCCTATTTCGCTCAAACAAAGGTGCAGGTTCGCTGGACGGGGCGCAGGGGTGCGTATTATTGCCCTTTTGCTGTTCCGTGTTGGGGTGCCGACCCATCTGACGGGTATGTGACAAGAGGATTCGTAAATTTGGCGGCGACGCTTCCTGGGCGTCGCGTGCGACGTCCCGCCCGCAAAGGACGATGGTTTCAGGCAGTAGATGGCGACAACATGCAATTAAGGACCGAAAACAGTAATGAGTGTCTACGATGATGGGGTCTACATGAAGTCCGGTGCTTCATCGACATGAAGGTTAAAAGAGTTAATGAAAAAGTCGCGCCTATCGCCGCCGCGTGGGCGGTGTGAAGAATAGCGGGATCGCTCGTTTAAACGGATACCCATCTAGACTGACTTTTCTCTAGTTGACAGGGTTTTTTACGCATGATAGATTGAGGCATGCCTTCGCTCCAAGCTCCAGAGTGTCGCAAGGTTTCGCGTCAGAGTGAGACTATGTAAACCGGAGACTAAGCGAAAGCAACGGATAGCCACGAAATGCCGCCGTGCCCTCTCCGGCCTTCGCATGATCGCGACAACTGGCGCCAAACAGATATTGCGAAACTGGGAAAATCTGAGAATGTTTGCTAACAACTATTTTAGTAGGTGCAACCTTTATCACGTATGTTCACGGGGGGGCATATATTTTACTTACTAATCGTCAAGAATGTGGATGCAGCTCATGCATTTATCGAGAAACGCGACAAGGATGGGTTGGAGTGAGCGGACCCGCACAAACCATTGCCTTCTGATTGGGTAAATACTCGTTCTGCGATCGAAAAGAGTTTCGAGTGCCAAATATTTGCGATTCTGCTTCATAGCAGTGCTGACATGGAAGTGGGACCCGTTTGACGTAAAATCGCCATCAAACGGGATCGTTGGTCTTCTCTGTTTTATATTTTGACAGAGCCGTCGTCGTTTCGGGTAGTCTAACGGTTTCAGTTCCCCATTTGGAGCTGGGCGCATTGGTCTAACGAGGCCGCCCACTTAGCTAGTTTTAAGTTCATCAACTTTTCGAGTTGTGATTATGCGTTATGAACTAAGTTCTTATATTTCTTCTAGCCTTCCAAGATCGAATAACTTTATTGAAGGCCTACGTTTCGGCGTCTTCGCCTTCGTCAGAGCCTGAAATGGTCAAAAAACATCTAGAGACCTGCTCGCTCAAACATTTCAGCAGTACTCAAAGACGATTTCCATACACTAGTAAACCACCCAACGGTATCGATCGAAGGCGGAACTCTGGCTTACCTTGATCTTAGCCGCGTGACGCGGGGACGACCACCCTGTAGAGGCTCTCAAGCGTGGAGTAAGAGTTACTAGTAACCTCCCTCGACCTCTCGGTGGGTCAAAATCAGCGGGCGCGACAAGACTGGAGCTTTTTTGGTTCAGCAGCAAAAGGACCCAGAAATGAATTGCGAAGGAAGAGTGTGTGGTCATAACGGCGTGTAACTCGCCGAGCCGCTTATCCGGACCTCTTGCAAAGTTTTTGACCCACCTGAGAGGTGATGCGGAGGTTAGCTAGTAACTCTTACTCCACGCTTGAGAGCCTCTACAGGGTGGTCGTCCCGCGTCACGCGGCTAAGATCAAGGTAAGCCAGAGTTCCGCCTTCGATCGATACCGGTTGGGCGAGGTTTACTAGTGTATGGAAATTCGTGGCTTGAGTTATTGTTGTGAGATGTTGACGCGAGCAGTCCTCTAGATGTTTTCTTGACGCATTTCAGGCTCTACGGCCAAGAGCCAAAACGCTCGAAACGTAGGCCTCTAATAAAACGTTATTCGATCTTGGCAAGCGCTAGAAGAGAATTATAAGAACTATATAAATCGTGCCAAGATTACAAGAAAGTCGAACATGGACTGTTATGAACTAAGTTATAGTTCTCAGTGTCCGAAGAAAATTGCTGAATCAAAGGGTCGTGACATTTCCTCTTGATTGATTATTATTCTCCATCCGATTTTCCTTACTAGTTGCGGCTTCAATTGTTTTATAGTTGAGAAAAACGATTTTACACCTTTTCTGGTCGAGAAACCAGCGCTCTGACCCATAACCAGCTGATGATAGCTTCATAGCAGTGCATACAGGTGCCTTTTTCTCTCCTTGAATTTTGACGATTTCAGAGAAGATATCCTGAGCAGGCCTAATTTATGCTCAATTGTTCTTCTGGCGTTGTGTGCAATTTTGGCAGTACCTGTAGTAGGCCTTACTATTTTCCACATCGTTCTCGTCTCTCGTGGACGGACCACAAATGAACAGGTTAGTGGCTAATACTATTCTTTACGTTCTTCTTGGCCACGGTGCGATCACGCTGTGATGATTAGTGGGTGGATGTATTTTTACGGAAAAGCTCTCGATCAATTCTAGGTGCAGTTCAGCTTGGTGGGGGCACCAAACAGGCTATTAAAGACCTGAAGATTCCTGTTACTAAAGCGACTCACTCAAAAAAGTTCGCGGCTTCACAGAGTTCATGTCTGTCCAAAGTGAAACCTTCAGGTGACATGTATCAACAAAAAGAACCAACGAAAGTGCAGAATACCCCTCCAAGCCGAAGCGCCCAGTTTTACGTTCGTTCTCATTGGAACAAGTGCATTTGTATGAAATGTTTCCCCTACTGCTTTGCCTGCGAAATTCTAAACCGGTGGACCAACAGTTCTGCCCTCATAGGCATTGCTCGCCCTTTGACCCTTTGGTGTGCGAAAACTGTTTTTATTTTACTTAGCCGAGTTTTGTGCAGATTGTTCTCTTTGAAGGGTTGAAAGTTGTTCGGAATTTGAAAGTCAGAGAGCATTGAGCCCTCTTTCGGGCCATCCCTAGCGACAGTGGAAACTTTGACCACGTGGAGGGTGGCCCGATTGAGGCCGTTTTGCCATGATAAATCTACATGGCAAAGCACTAGTAAGAGAGCTTGGCGCTTATGGCTTTGGAGGGGCATTTAGAGGACCTCTTTTGGAAAACTAGAACTCGTGCTGTGATGGATATAAGAACTCTGCTTAATCTAAAAGGAGGGGAAGGACTTCCGGGGCGGATGAAGCAATTGCAAGTACGGTATCATTACTTCGTCTCAAATTTCTACAAAGAGTTCTGCGAATGCCCCATTCCAAGAATAGTAGCGTCACGAGTTTTGATCTTTATTTCTAGAGGAGACATTTCACCAATTTCTTTGCTTTGCAGGTTACTGGCAAATTCCAATCTGGATACAATCCGTTCACGATTGGATGTATTGGAAA